TTTAAGTTTGCAACACTGAACAAAGTGAAGATAGGAAATATGAAACATAAGCATGACTCATATCTGTTTCCAATGATGCCAACTTAGTTTGAAAATCACAGGCCGCTTTGTTCATAAATGTAATTGAAAACACTTATTTTTCTAACACAGGAACTATCAGTTTTATAAAAGTTGAAGGTTGAACGTAGAACTGTTTTAATAAATCCATCAATTTTGAATTTTAAATAACAGAAAAAACTTCACCAAGTTAGTAAACTGGATTTATCCGTGTATACAATTTGCGGTACACCTTTTCCACCCTCAAAAAGTGCTTTGTTTACGAAACCGATATGTTGTATTTGGAACACGCGGATACACCGAATTCAGGAAAGTAGAATAATGACAGTCATCTGTGATTTTAAATTTCGTTTTCAGTTTTACGATCCATTTAAGAGTTTACTCTCTCAATATAAATAGATGCTTCAATGGTTGTGAAATTAAGTAACAGTAACAGTACATTATTTATTAGAGCATAGCCGTAATCTTCTTATTCTATCAGACGTGATAAGTGTTTGATTGTGTAATAATCACTTTCAGGAGGAATTAATCGAAACGACAATCTCAGGTCAGTGTCAAGACTTTAAATCTACTCTTTTTGACGGGCTGTATGACTCAAGTTTATTACTGATACAAATGGAAATATAACTTAAAGTAATTAACTGTTGGGTTACAGTAGAAGGAGTCAATAAATAATTGACCTTAGGAGACACGTGGACAACTGTTGGTTTGTCACTGTACAATTTTATCATTGAAATGGGCATTTAGAAGAGGCGGTACTTGAAATTATTAGTAATTGTATTGTTTTAAATATCTACAACATATTAAACGTTGGAAATGAGTAGAGTTTTTATAATCATCTATTGGAAAATGCTAAATTATGTAGGTGAAAATTACTACGATGTTGTTTAACATTACAGGCTATTAAAAGCTCGCAATTAGTGGTTATCACAGTAATAAAACGTATTTGATTTACACATATGGAAATATTCTTTAAAATATTTCCGTTTTCCATTTAAAAATACCTACATATTAATGAATTTTAGTATGGTAGATTATAGAGAATATGGGGATAATAACTAGATAGTTGTTAGTAATTAAGTAAGAATTCTTGACTCCTCGTATTAGAAATAATATACTAATTCTGTCCAAAAATCATTCAAACTAAACGGTTTTACGATACCATGAGTTAAGTTGGGCTGTGACATTAAATTAAGTTGGCAACATTGATTAAATGACAAATCACTATAAAATCGTAACGTTTATATTTGATGATCAATGTTGCCACATTAAGAATTTAAATTGGTCTCCTTGACGACAAAGAACACGTAATAATTTACAATCCCTTTTCTATTCAGTGCTGCCAACTTAATAATAACTCAATAAGTTTGATTAGAAATTTAATTGACCACATTATTTTTTAGAAAATTTACTCTAAACCAATATTTCTAAATCAGCACATCTCATAAAGCAGTTGATTTTGTATAAATGAGAGTGAATGTTGAAAACTTGTCATTCATTGTCATGCTTCATTTCACAATAATGCTGTTTATGATTTTTCCTGTGTAATTACAAGTGACATTTTAATTGAAACAGTTGTAATTTATTTGTATTGCAAATACAAGAATACTGAAGACAAGATACTTTGCAAATGGACTCGCGATCATTATCAATATTACTGAAAGCAGACAGTTGCATTGGTTTTATTAAATGATTTATTATCCATCATTACCTATTTTGCAGCTGATGATTTGGTTTTTTTCTTCTGGAAAGTACTTTAAAGCCATTATTTAAGTAAGTAGTGTTGCTATTTACATGAATGACAGCACTAACAGTAAAAATTTAATAGGAAACTATTATTAGCTGGTAATAGGTTTCACTCAACTAAATGAGTGACGTTGATGCAAGTTTCATTTCAACGTATTCTATTACAGCGATCATACTTTGGAAATGTCAATTGGTAATTTGCATCGAGAAAAATATTTGTGCAAGCAGTACCAGGAACTCAAATCTGTAGTTTTTCTTTCTTTTTTTTAGTCTTTACTGTTGTCGTTTTTTATTCAAATTTATCCGAAAATCTTGCTTGTAACAGCAAGAATCAGCTTGCACGGTTGGTTTGGTTGAGGAAGGTTAAGTCCAGACCAACCTTCGCCTTGCACTCGTCCGTCCACTGTTGTTAAAGATGACTTGCCGACCTTGCCGCCGTCACCACGTAATTTTAATCAGTTATTACAGAACAGTTGTTTAACAATAGGTAATATCATGAAAATAAAAATAGTTGACGCAACCTGACTTTTGTTGTCTATTCAACACTAATTAAATTTATAATGAACGAGTCTCACTACTGTTTTGTTCTTGAAGCTAACGACGTAGAGTGAGTAGCGTAGCAACCTTTTGTACTTCAAGCGCCAAAGTTCATCGTAATAAATAACACGGGTTAAAACGGGAGAAGTAAATCCTCTCGGGAGGGAAAAGCGTTGTCCTGCAGCGTAGGCGTGGGTTGCACTTGATTCATGAAAACGACTCGAGTTTGAGTGGAAATCGATCGTATGTTCGCTGCTGGTTTTGGGTTACTGGGTTAAGATCTTCCTCAACGTTGGGTTTTACGTTAGTTACTACTTATCTCATGTTGCCACTACTCGGTGCCAGAAGTGTAAAATTATATTAATAATAAAGACTTGTTTCTAAAATTTACACAAGAAATAGAGAATCGCAGAATAAGATATCGTTGTTAAAAATTGAAATGCGTACTCTAAATTGGTTTATTAAGTTGTTGCGTATACGAAAATTCGACTTTTAAACTTTTAAGTTGAAGTTTAGGACAATGCAGAGACAAACGAAATTTTCAATAGAATATTTAATAAAGGTACAGCCTACACGAAAACGAAACGAAGTTGGTTAAAAAAAATTGATCAAGAAGTCTTTAAAGAACAATAAGTTACTGTTGACCACAGAAACCAAATCACAAATTCCAAATATTATGAATGTTTTGAACTGGTTAACGATCCGCCCTGCTCTCCGAATTTAGCATTTTCAGACTAATATTTCTTTCCAAAAGTCAATAAGCGTGGAATGATAGAACTTTTTTTTAATGAAATTTTAATTAAATTACTGGTGGATGAATTTATTGTATTTATTATTAATGGTAGTTTTTGAAGAAAAGTTCATATTTTTTTTAAAAAAAAAAGCTATTCTAGGACTGTTTCTCACGTTTCTTGCTGTTCTCGAATGTTGTTTATTAAAAAATCTGTTGTTCTATTGACAAATATATATAAATACAATTTATTAGATTTTATATTCTCTTTCAAACAGCTGAGATGCTTTTTACTTTTGTTTTCATACAGTTAGAAAGTGTGAAATTACGTATACTAGTTCGCCGTTTTAGAAATGATGAGATTTTTTAAAATCTTGTTTCTGACGTAGAAATTTAATAGGACTTCATGTGATTTAGTAACAAATATGCTGTTAGAACGACTGCAAATGGATTCAATTTTTTCTCTTATAGTGACGTCTAGATCTTTTCTTTTTAGGATTTGAATTTTCATTTTATGAAAAGGTAAAACATTTCGAGTACTAGAAGCTTGATTCATGATTATAATTTGTAGATTATTGCTGACAGTAGGTGGTATTTCAGATCTTTTTATTCGCTTTTGTGCAGCGATGCGGTGTTGTAATTTTTTCTTTGCACACTGCGTTGCATAAACAATATTTAATAAAAATTTATGAAGCATTTTGTTACTATTACCTTTCGCTTCTATTACAGTTATTGTATTTTTAATGCGAAATTCAAAGTAAATACCCAACTACGAACTATAAAATTATTATAAGCTAATAAAAAATTTACATAAGAGTCAGGACAAAATGGTAACAGGTGGTCGTTCTCGTAAATTTCCTTTTTAATGATTCCTTTGTTGAGGTGTGTATTACATGTTGCCACAAATAAATTGTACAAACACCGAGAAATAAACTGTTTAAATTTTAATAAAATTAGTACGATGGGAATTATTGATTTAATGTTGTTCCTACGCAAACAACATTTAAACACTTGAATAATTTGCAAGCAGTGATTCTCTTTTTTGCTTGTTTTTCGTTATTCATGCGTCGGGTTTGTGTGAGGCTTTTAGTTAATTTTTGTCTTTTGTAGATTAACATGATTAAAGCCATCTATAAAACGAGTTTCTTGTAGCGTGAATGTGCAATAAACTTTGACTTAAAGCTATTAATTCTATATTTCTATAGTATACTTTGCAAGAATTTTTTTTATTGCCTTGAAATGATGGTGACCCTTGACAACTAAATTATCCTTAATCTGCCACTGGAAATCAGTGACTAACACTTGTGTGACTGTATTGTACTACTGATAAAAAGAATGAATTACTAAAAATATTTCCATTTATTGATTAGGGTCTAGTAAGGTCTTATCATTTATATCGTAAATAAATAATCTTTACTACAGGATGTGGTTATCTTAAAAATGATAAGGAGTTGCTATTGTGCTTAAAATTAGTGATACAGAACGGTTAAATAATATTACAGTGCTAAAGCAAAGTTAAGTTTTTATTGCAAGAGTCTCCCCTTTATTGAGGGAGACAATTGTGCTGTGGTTAATTGAGCGTAACGATACTTCAAGTTTAAATTACACGGTAGTAACGAAAAAGGAATTCTGTGTACTCTGGAACTTTCTTGCATAACTTCGTCGGTAATAACTTTTCAAAATACTAGTTTACGTCAAAAACCCCCAGTTAAATATTTGTTTGTTGAAAAGTTTAATTGCAAAGTAGATTATATATTTGCATAATCAACTCTAATTGGCATGTGGACAATTTAGTTTTTTTCCATTTGACATATTGATACTTTAAATTTGTTTAGTCTCGTTTGTAGGTTTTTCTAATAGAATAATTTAGTTAGATCTTATGATTCTTTCTTCTCTGATTCAATCCCTAACATAAAACCTTTTGTTTCAGAAGGGCGGCGAGGAAACTCGGTGCCGATGATTTCCGCAGGTTTGGAGGGACGATTGCCCTATATGACCTACCCAGAGCCTTGGCGTGGGCCGCCCAAGCAGCCTCCGGAATTTCTTAGGCCTGCTCCCAAGCCAGTACCCCCAACTAGGTAATAACCTGAAACCCACTTAAATACGAACTTCAGGACTTATGGCCGTGACTTGTATGTGAATGGGTACTTTACAATTCCTTGTGTGGTTAGCACATATTTGTTAAAGTCGGAATATTTGCCACGGAGCAAATGATCCAAGGTTGTCATTTGACCATTGCATAACCGAGTAAAATCGTTAAACGAGTGGTTTTCAATATTCCAGTCGAATAATAAAGTCTTTCAGTGGCGACATCAACTCACCACGCTAGTAAACGGGATGCTTCTTGATTGTGGCATTGCCGATTGTTTTGATAGTATCCACACGTATGTTGTTGACATAAAAAATTAACGACCGCGAAGTGTAAACATAGTTTTTTTTAAACATCAACAAACTCTACTCATACATAGTCTTTTCCCTAATGTCAATAACACTTGTATAACTACAAAGTTTATTTAAAATTGTCGGTGAAACTGGTCGTGACTTTGTAAGGACCTCTTGTAGATGCGCAAGGCATTTCATTGGAAGAAGCTGCTGAATTTGAATTTACTTGACTTTACGCATTTAGGCACTTTTCTGTGTTTGAATTTTAATCAGAGAATGAATTATCGTCGACGTAGCTGACAACAGAACTGCAGCAACAAATTCACATTTTTTTGGGATCTACATTTTGAATTATTATACATGAAAATTAGCTAGCAAGATATCAACTGATTTTCTAACCTCCGTATTATTTTTTTACTGATTTCAAGCACTGGTATTGTTAGGGCAAGTCAGGGATATACTCATAGCAAAATACTTATGAAAAATGTTGTCGTTCAAAACATAGTGACATTTAATTTTTTTAATTATTCTTCGGAATATTTACAGCAAATAAATACAATAAGTATTAAAAAATACAATGTTTTACGTTTCCATATTACATAGTGCATATCACAAGCGATATTACAAAGTGTGAAGCATAGAATTTAAATTTTACATATTTTGTTTTCGTATTTAGTACACTGATCTCTTTAATCATTTAGAAAGTTTGACATTGTTATATTTATAATTGTTATTGTCATTTTCTAGAACAAATCTGTGGTTTTTCTCATTTTCATCAATCCATAAATTTTCAGAAGAATTTAATTTACTTTCATTTCTACATTTTACATTAGAATTTTTTATTATAATAATACATTCAAATTTTGCTTTTAATAATCACTCAGAAGAAGAATCAAAAAAGAAAGATACATTTGTGCAGAAATGAGTTAAGTTAATGAAACTGTGAGGCGGTTTACAGATTAATTTGACGTGTGACAATGCAAAGTAAATGACAACTTAATTCGAATTAGCTTAATTCTGAATTAAAATTTAATTTGCTTTATGCAAATCGCCCCTGTCTTATATAATTGCAACATAATTGCAAATGAAATTATCAATCATAGATTTTTTATCAACAGAAAGAACAATGAATATAATATTTATTTATTATATTCTGGTTAACTATTGTCCTGGCTTTTTTCTGAAACTTTTAGACTTTTCAAAAAGCGTAGATTTTTCATGAAACGTAGATTAGGATTTTCATGAAATGTCGAATTACTTACATTATGCGGCCACGACATACTCTTGCATACAGTTGGTTGCAATAAAAACGGAAAATAGAATTTTCTTTAGATTGAAACAGGTTTTGCTCTTGTCTGTCGCATTCAAATAATTTTTTCTGCAATGCCGCACTTAAATGCCGAGAGCCTCAAATACAAATCAAGATAATCAATTAGTTGAGTACTTACTTAAAAACCCAATGAGTAGTGAGTACTACAGATTAACTGTCAGTTCTAACTTAACCTTTTAGAATTAAGCCATGTTCAAACTATGGATAAATATAAAAATCTGACATTTTTACGCTTTGACATTTTCCAATTTTTTTGCAACCAAGTGTACCTAATAATATAAAAATCTGTAGGTACCTAAAATGTAAGAGTTGTAAATAAACTATCAGCGAACTGAAATTAGAAATTCAACAAACTATTGAAGTTTGTGATAATCTTATTGGAAATTTAAATCACAAATTTGTCTTTTAGGGTCATATTTTCTTATTAAGTGATGATTATATTGACGAAATAGTTGCAATAGTTTTACTTTTCTTGGTTTTGCAGCCGTTACAATGGGGTAAGCACACCGGCCAACGGAATGCGCCTGGCTCCATCTCAGCACTCCCTCAGCAAGTACCCTTCGCCTGCATCGATAACAACTCCCGTCAACCTCACCCAGCAGAAAGATGAACTCGTCGAAGAGCTTCCGTACTACCGGCTGTACACAGCCCCACCTCATCTCTCCCATTTCCCTCAATTCACCACCATGTACCAGAACCCCTACACTCCGATAATCCGTTCGACATTTCCCACTACCTCCCTGCCACCCTTGGAGACGTACTCTCCTACCACTCCCACTGCAATCACGTCAACGTTCCTATCACCCCCGTCCACTTTCAGTCCTCCGTCACCGGTTAAACCTGGCCAAAGTGTTCTAAGAGATTCAAGGGTTCCGACCCAGACGACAGCACAAATTCAGTCCAATCATCAGTCAGTAGCCTTCAAGGTGCCCTCGGGGAAAGAGGGATCCTTAAAACATAGGATACTTACAAGGCCGGAGGATAGCAGCCGAAATCTTGCACCTTTAGATTTACAAAAGCCTGTGGAAGCACAGAGAAAAAGGCTCAATGCGACCATGTCGCCTCCCAGGTCACCCAAGAAACCTATTAATAATAATAACACAGTTCCGAGCAATTTCACAAAAGGATCTCTTATACAACTTGCCAATGGCGAGCTGAGGAAAATTGAGGACATGAGGACTGAGGATTTTGTCTCTTCGGCCGAACACAGCCCGGAATTGAGGCTAGCGGAGAGCACGGTGGTAAGGATAGAGGAGAACCACGCCACCGGAACTGCCACCATTACGCTTAGTTACAATCAGAGACGCACACAGGTAAAGCTTTTCGTTAAACGAAAAAACAGTCAAAATTATGGTTGTTTTAAAAGCGTTATTATCACATAAAAAAGGTCAAAGCTGATGACACTTCTAAATCATTTTTCAGCTTTAGCTTGTCAGAATTTATTAAAATTACCTGGAATGAGTTTACTAATGACACCATCGTTGAGGCTATTTGATAATTGCAGTACAATAACTGATGCAAATGCTTCCATTGGCATAGTGACTGCCTCTATAGTTTCGAAATAGTAAGCATTCCTTAAAAAAGGTTTATTTAATGAGTTATGCAGGCCGTTATCTTTATGATGTCATTATTTGTCACCAACTTTACACTTATTTACTTTGGGGATATTAATTAAGTTAGACTTTTTGCCTGAGGCTGGAATTTTTGAAATAGTTTCGCTTGATTTCCATTGAATGATTGAACTATTTGAAGCGAAAGGTCAACACTCCTAAGACAACAACTTGGATGCAATTTTAATGACCTTAAACTTTTCTCAGAAAAGGTTTCGTGTCTTCTCCAACCGCAGGTGTTCATTAGCAGTGTGTATGTATAAATAGAAGAGTATGTATTTTTATGGTTTGCTGATGTCATCAACAAAATGAGTATGCGAGCACGTTAATATATGGTCTTCAAGAAAAATAATAATGGAAGGAAAAACCACGCGATTAAAATATGCCTAATTGGCCACGCCATGAACCGTAAAATGTGTCTACAATCGTATTATTACGTTTTGTCATATTAGAACACGAGTACTATTGCGACATGAGTCACGTACTACTATTTATTTTACTTTTTGGAGATAAAAATATTTGTAGATTGCAATGAACTTTAGTGGAAACAAATATCTAAAAACCCATTTTTAAAAGCCACTCAAAAATTTAAAGTTTAGAATGACGACTAATTTTAGAAACCATTTCCTTGCCAATAGTATAGTAATGTCGTAATATTTTTTTGGCAAAATCCCGATACTTCAAATTTGTAAATATACAGATTAAAATAGTTTGAGACTAGACTACCAAAATAGCCGCGATGAAAAATTAATAATAACATATGGTCCATTTCAATAGTAAACTCCTAGCCTATGGAATATCACTAGTGGCACAAACTGAGTGAACTTTTAAATCGGAAATTATTACTTTTTAGAACAAAGTGAATGTTGAAGGTGTGGAGAAGATGAAACAAGTCTTCGAATTCCAAACCAAGAACAAGACAATAGCACATTATTTTAAAACCAAGGCCGGGACCAAATCGGTTTTTATGCAGCAGACTGACGAGATGAGCCAAAAATAAAAAACATGGGTTTTATTTTAGATTTTATCACAATCCGAAAACCAATTCAATTGTATGGCTTTAAAAAGACAAAAAAGTAATTGATTATGTAGTGGATGTTTCGTAACGTCCACATATTTGCTAAAATGATCCGGTAGTAACAAAATGAATAAAAATTTGCATTTTATATTTGTCTCACAATTGAAGCGAAATTGCTCTCAGTAAATTTGACGAATGCTGTTTAATTTTGATTTGATAAATAAACTAATAGGCAAAAAATTCTTTCATTTCGATTGATGTAGGTCTGATAAACTGTCAATCATGTATTTAAATATCAGGCTCCACTTTTAGCGTAGAATTTTTTTTTTTTTTTGATGCGTGTCGATTCAAGACAACCATGTAAACTATAGTGAGTATTCTCGTTTGATATTTCAGATGTCTGTAATGTAGGCCTTTGAAGATATGTTATAATCGAAAAGTGGATTATAACTTGACAATTTTGGCTTTACTGGTTGTTATATTTGACAATTTTTACATAAATTTTATTGACATTAATGACAGTTGATCACAATCACACGATGAAATTTTTAAAATATTGACAGTCCTAAATTGATACTTTTTATCGCTCCGTTAGCAACATGAGCTTGAATTTTTGCATTTAAATAATAATACAGGGTGCACCAGAACTCACGCCCCAGAAAAAAAATTGGAGTAAGGTAAGATACCAGGAATATAGAAAAAATGTTTAAAAAATTCTGTCAAAAAATTTTGACATTTATTTTTTGACATTTAACATTTTGTTATCTCTATTTAATGATACTGATGATCTTGTATACGTTTTTTTACAATTATTTAGAAAAGGTACAAAAATTTTGCCAATAAAAGCCACAAATAACATTGAACAGAATTGCAACTTAGGATACAGCTTTCTTGTTTCCTCTTCCTACTGATGATCTTGTATACGTTTTTTTACAATTATTTAGAAAAGGTACAAAAATTTTGCCAATAAAAGCCACAAATAACATTGAACAGAATAGCAACTTAGGATACAGCTTTCTTGTTTCCTCTTTTAATAGACTATAGCAAAAAAACTTGGAAAATTATTTTTCCAATAGAAGTTTTTATTGATATTTTTTTTTAATATTTTTTACATGTTCCTGGTATTTTACTTTAAATGGCATTTTTGTCTGGGGCGCGAGTTCTGGTGCACCCTTATATGCTAAATTGCAAATTGAGTTTATTTCCTGAGACCTAAGATGGACAGAAATATAAAATATTCAACTGTTGGTTATTTTTTCCAACAACTTATTTGATATGTAATTTCTCAATTTTTGATGTACATACCAAAAATATTTAATTACCTCTTCTAACTATTCAGGATATCCTTCATATTTCTTTATAAACAGGTTTTAAGTTTGAACAGTCATTACATTTCCTAGAAAGTTACGAGTTGTCGTGAATCCTGGACATCAGTTATGTGTCCAGGATCGATACAACCATCATCCATTTAGCATTTCTGCTCGTCCAATCTGGCAACCCATCCGACAAGTTCTTTGATCGCGCAAGTGGAATGCTTCGAGTACAAATCTCGTAGTACTCCACGCCCAGTCGGAGCAGAAAAGAAGTGGTTTGGTTCCGGGGCTCGATGTCCTTGAACGACCCAGGCCTACTCTTTGATCTCACAGACATGTTTGTTATTTGTTGATGTAAATGTTTTGTTACCATTTTTCTCGGTATCAGCACAGCTGTGGATTAACATCTCGACTTTGGATCTTTATTTATTAATTTTATCTACCTATCGCGACCGACCGAATTTATTACGAACCAACAGAATGCCACTTTTCAAGTGGTTCTGTCAACTTCATAAACGGAAAGTTGTTTTGAGTTCAGATGCGTTCAAAAAGATCACCGACCTTGCCGGGGGCTCCCACAGCATACTTTATATGTTCCACTCAATGGAATGTTGTATTGATGAACGCGGATTCGTCATTGGGGATATTAATGAAAAGCCAAATTTGTTATGCGAGGCGCCTAATTAATGGACCAAATAATGGGGTTTTAGGAGCAGTTTTGGCAAAAAGCTATAACTCACACGTCAGACTCAAGTATTATTAAACCCACTTCATGCCGAGTACGCCCCTGCATCATAGCCAACTTAAATTTGAACATATATAAATGTTGTGTAGTAAATCAGAGAACGAGTTGTAGGTGGAATAAAAACAATGACGAAAAAGCAGACGTACTTATAAGATTTGGCAATTTCATGTCAATACATACATTAAAAAGTTATTCATATGGTGAATGATTTTTAATAATGGCGTGTAGCTTGTACAGAGTGATTAAATTAATTACCTATTTTTCAATAGAAATATTTCAGAAATTAGCTTGATCCAAGTTACAGAAGTACTTTAAACAAATAGTAATTATGTGGAATTATATTTGTCAGGTTAAAACTTTATTTTACAGATTTGTCTCTAAATTTTTAGCATTTTTCGTCACTTTACATATTTATTTTATTGTTGCGTCTGATGTTTTCAGTGTAAATGAGACTGAAAACATGCTGTGTTGCATACGAAAATTTTCTCACGTCAATTTAAGTTTATTAAAGATTGACACGTCCGAGAATTATTTTCTAAAAATGTTGTTAGTCTTGGACAGCAAAAACCGGCCACTGGACAAGAGTACTTATGTCTTGTTTGTTGTCATTCTAAGTTATTGATAAACTTCGAGGACAACGACCAAAGACAGGATTGTGAGGAATCTTTTTACATCACGACAATGTATCAGCACCAGCCGCCAACATAACTATTGAATTTCTAAAGTCAGCGCAGTTAGAATTAATGAGCTATAGAGTCTTAATTTAGCATCTTGTGAATCTCTTTCTCACGACGTACTTTTTGTCAAAGTATAAAATAAAATGGAAAATAGAGCGGCTGATGTTTGGTGTAAAAAACAAGGCTTATATAAATACCAAACAAAAGTCAAGCCAAACATTTAATTTATAGCGACTCTTCCTTAAATTTATAGGAAGGAGTTTTATTTTCGGTCCAAAATAAAGAAATGTAAAAGTGAGGTCATTCGCTTAAATTTTAATACCTAAAGAATTTGGTAATGAAAAAGGGTTTTTCTTTGTTGTAATTATAAATTATGATATGAATTAAATACACAAAAAACGTCAAAACTTATTCGTAGACGTTAGACTTTTAAAATGATTTGAATGATAAATCACAATTCTAGGACGTAAATCGCTAGCAAATATCGCGCTCTTTACCAAAACTACCAATGAATTAACGTAAAGATTGTTGTAAAAGTTGTAAGCATTATGATTGGGCCGTTTAAGGTCGGCCATTATAATAATGCAAAAAAACCAATCACTTTAGATTTTTGGATTCATTCAATAATTTAATGCAATAATGTGATTGGTCCGTTTGAGGTCGGCCATTATAATAACGAGAGAAGCCAATCACTTTAGACTTTAGATTAATTCAAAAATGTAGCGAAATTAGTTAATTCGGATTTGTATTCATTCGTTCAAATTTTTAATGAAAATGTTATGTGCCCTTTATGTGCTTTGGTTCTGGTTGGGAAATAAAACTTTTAACCTTAAAATATGTGTGTAACATAAATTGGCTACGAGATATGGAATTGAAAATTTTCTTTGAAACTAAATATTTTCTTGTAAGAAGTGAAAAATAACCTCACCATGGGCAAGGGTGGAATGAAAATAAGACTCTTTTCTACAGGTTCTAGAGGCCTATAGTATGTACAGTAGTAGATAATTTCTTCTAGCAAATATTAAACAGATTAATAAGGTCTAATCTGTGCGTAAACCCTAAGTTTGTAGGTACAACAAAAATGTACGGTTTTTAAAGCGTTGTTTTTTGCATAATAAATACTGAACACACCAAAAATAAAGGGATACAATGAATCACGAAGTAACAGTTGTAGACTTATAAATCACTTTTTTAACCACAAATTGCTTGAGATAGATCGAGAGAAAACCTAGCTGTAAACAAATGAGTCACTTATGAAAGAATTTTACTTTGAAATATTGAATGTTGAAATTGTTCCAACTTTCGCATCAAACAAATTTACCTACTTTCTGTGTAGAATTTCATGGTTCGTGTGTAATCTTTTTTATGAATGAATAAATTTTCATCGGGAAAATGAATTACTATTATAATACTTACCCACATCTTGTATAGTTTCGAATATCGGTGTGTAATTTTAATTAGTCTCACGTGGAGACCTAATATTAATTAGTAGGATTAGCAGGAACAAAAACACTCACCTCTGGAGTGGTCATTTAAAATTAGACAAAATGATTTTACTACATGTTCCTAAAATAATGGTCTTATGTCGTCTATTCCAGGTTGATGTGGAGTCAACGACGGAGCACCCCTTCTTCGTGTTTGGCCAAGGCTGGGCATCGTACAATCCTGAAAAAACTCAGCAGTGCTACGGACTGAAAGTGCACCGTTTGCAAGTGGGCGATATTTTGATCTCGCTGACACCCCGGGAGCACTTTAGTAGCGTTCCGTCGACTCGTAGTACGACCATCATGACGACAGCAACCAGCACAGCGATGACAGTGCGCCCTTTGTCCCTGGACAGCATGCCGAAAATTCACCACGACAAAATCGACCAAACAAATAGTCAAATGCATCCAATCAATTTACACACCGCAAGCCATCCACCGCACACGCTGTCGCCCGAGGGGCGCAAAAGGTCCGCCCTTGAACAAATCTGTGATGACGAAGAACAGCACTCGATGAGGAGAAGAGTCGAATGAAACTTTGCTACTTTTAGGGTATTACAAGGTGACTGTGAAGGTTTCAAAAACTTAACTAATTAATTCACTGTGGGATAGACTGTTTTCAATACTAGATCAATGCTTCTGAAATGATATTATCCCGCCTTGTTAGCTCATGTTGAAATAACCCATTAAAGACAACCGGTGCGACCACAGTTGACTCATGCAAATTCGATACTTGCTATTTTTACGTTTTACATGCTTGAAATGCACTTACATCGGGGTACCGACACGTTTTACAATTGTTGGCGAACTTGCATGGCTATAAAGAATTTTTCTGTGCTTGAAAAGTGTTTAATGTCAACTTTATAGTCAAGTTTTAGCGATATTTGTAAAGTTTATCCGAAGTGTATGATGCAATTTAGGAGATTCAGCAAATTTATTGCTCTCTACTCATTTCGCAAATATTGAACTTGCAAGCTGGTTGCACTTATTGACCGACAGAATGATATTACAGTTATATAAGCGCATTGTATATTTGTAAATAAAAGTTGCATAAAGGGTTCTTTCAAAATTAGCAAGTTCATGTTAGGGATTATTGTTGTTTTGCACTTGTTTTCAACATTTCAGGTGCAGAAGTACAAACAACATAAATCCTCTGGTAATTGTGCTAGTGCAATGGAATTATCTAAAATGTAAATTTAGATTTCTCATGACAATATAAGACAGGGCAGGATGTAGCAAACGTCGCTGTGCCGATTATGAACTGGAGTATTATGTAGAGTGATAATGTACTGACAAGAACAGTTGATTTAAATGAAAGTTTTGAATACGTAGAGGACTATGGTAGTAGAAAACTGCTACTGTCGATCTCAAAAAGAGTTGTGTGATAGAAATGCTTTTAATGTTGTTCACAAAGATCTGTATTTTATTTACTATGGATTTTCATAAATGATCATGCACGAACTGATGTGAAGCAACAGCGCCACCTCTTCCGGTTGTTGACCAAATTGAAAAGATTTGATGGAAGGTGGCGCCGCTGCTGCTGATAATAAATAATATATTTAGCGTTCGTTACTTATGTAAAATTTTTACTCTAGAGTATTGAAGAATAACAATTGATTATCTTGAGTGAGAGGAATCAAATCTTATTGCTTTTTAATGTTGTTTATATTGATTTCCATGTGAATTCTTGGCTGTGATACAGTAAAGTATGTGGAATGAACGACACTTCCCTCCATGTCTTTATTTTAAAGATCGTAATTATATTACAAGTGTGAATTGTACGTTATTATAAGATTATCGTAACATATACCTCACTCTGTGCTTTTTCTACATTGACGATTATCCCTAAATGCTTGTAATTCAGATCGTTCAAATGATTACGTTATTTGGTAACAAGAATTGTTATTTATTGTGTATATACAGAATGTCTTAGATAAATTAAATTTAATGTTAAGTTAATTAAGTAGGAGGTGTTAAATTTAACCGCGCTTGAAAAATTGTTGTTTGTAAATATGCCATGATTGAAATAAAATTTGTCGCTTGTTAAGTTTGACGTCCTCCGCAAATGTTTTACAATTAAATGTGATTTAATGTGTAATTTGTTGGGCATTCTGTGATATTTGCCTTCAAAATTTTTACGATTTCATAATCAGTATTCTGAAAGGTAATTGTTATGAAATGGTTCATTTTATTTACCAGTTCTTTTTGCCAAACGCTAAGTTTTTAGATTTCGGTAAGCTCAACTAAATTAGCTACAGAGTTATAATGTTATTGCGTTTTAATTTAGACAAATTTGAAATGGGTAGGAAACTACGTCTAATTAAATGAAGAGAAGACAATGATTATTGAAGTGCCTTGAATGAAGGGTTCTCCTTCAAGAATGTTATTTACCTATGTAGAGGATCTATGAAACAAGCTAACAGATATGTACAGATACATATATATTATTTTACAGATACATGTACAGTGTGCCATGTTGTTGAATTGTAAGGCCGGATGGCAGTGCAGTCAAACCAATAAAATATATAATATGTACTAAAAAGTGATTTTCTTCCACTACCTTCACCCCAATCCAAAAAAGCAACACTTTTTATCCATTTTATTCGCTATTTTTCATACAGATAAATTAACAATGTAATAACCACTTCATAATATTAGACGTTGCAAACTTATGAACAAAATAAAAAATACAACATCTTTTTTCTCAAATTTTAGGGTTACTGAATAACCTTTAATTATGTTTGCATTTCGGAAACAATTTTCATACTTGCAAACCTCCCGTCTTGCATTAAGTTAATCCATACGTAACTTCTTAAACAGGAAGTTCCGGCACATTGGAAATAGTCACAATGTCAATAATTTTTACAACTAAAAAACTCTATCTTGGTATCCGCTATCTTGCACAGCAGATGTCGTCGGTCTTGGTAACGAATGATGTCTCATTTGTGTTGGTCTTCTTGGCGGAGCTAAATATTCAAACATGCTCTGAGTATGAGTGGCTAACATTTTGCTCAAGTCGCATGGCATTGGGTCGGTCCAGAAAAAGTCATGGTTGAGGGCTGTATCGGCGTCAGCCCGTTTGGCGGGGTCGAGGACTAATAATTTGTCGAGTAAATCGCAAGCGTAGGGGTCTTTCATGTAGTGTTTCAATCTTTCTTTCACCTAGAGAAAGTTTCAAAAAAATAAGTAAACTTCACCAAAATAAAAAAAAAAATAAATGCTCAATCATAACCAACAATAATTGAACAAACAAAGTTGAACATAAAAACATTTCTCATCTTTCCCTTAATCACATAAATATTTATGCAAGGTAATTACTTGTATTCATTTCTAAGAAAATAAATAATCAGTAATTAAATAAATGTCATTCCGTAACCACACAAATGTTGCGAATCTGGACTTACTTTTCGTTTTTGAACGGGAAGTTCCATTTTCTTATACAGCTCCAGATTTTCAACGCCTGGCCAGACTTGGGGACAAATAGTGCCACAAAGTTGGGAAATTAGTGTCAATTGTTGTTGCTCACTGTTGCCCTGCATGATAGGAGACCTAGTCCACATTTCGGCCATAATACACCCAGCCCCCCAAAGATCTACTGGGGGGCCATAATTTCTTTCACCTAATAAGAGTTCTGGAGGTCTGTACCACAGCGTAACAACACGATTTGTAAATCTGAAATAGCAGATTACAGAATAATCAGTGTTTAAATTTAACGTTTGAACTCACCTATTTGGTAGTCCATTTTTAGTGGTACTAAATGCACGAGCTAAGCCAAAGTCGGCTAGTTTTAAAACACCATTTTTTGTGATCAATACATTGGCTGCTTTCATATCTCTGTGTAGAATTTTATTGCTATGTATGTAATATAAACCATTGAATAATTGTTGTACCACTTTTTTTATTTCTCCTAAACTAAATTTAACGTGAACATTTGATAACAACCCAGCCAAGTCGTGTTCACAAAAATCAAAAACTAAATAAAACGTTGATTTGTATCTGTTGCGGTACGACGCTTTAGTTTGGCATATTTCTATAAGATTAACAACATTTTCGTGTTTCAGTAATTGCAAGATTCGTATCTCTCGTAAAGCTGTGATTGGAAACTAGAAATGTAAACAATGAAATTCCAGAACCTTAAGTTGTTACCACCCCCTTACGCCTTCTTTTTCGTTATCCATTAACACTTTTTTCATTGCTACGAACTTCTTAGGATTACTTTTATCCCTCGCCTTGAAAACTTCACTAAAATAGGAGAAATAGAAGAATATAGAACACAATCTGTGACCTCAAGTAACCCCAACTAAATCACTTACCCGAACGTTCCTTGTCCAATTTTCGCAATTTTCTCATATTTTTCAGATTCATCACAGAACGGAAAATGAAAATTTTCAATATATTTTTCTTTATCTCGCATATTCATGATTGCAAAATCTCTCCTTGCCCGATGTTGCACAATTTATTATCCAAGTAAAAACTAGCGCAAATTTCCGTCGATAAAAAGGAGAACGTGTAAAAGTTAAATCACTAGCTTTAAAGTACTTAAATGCATGTTTCTGTTTATTTTTCGTGAATCACAAATGAGCCAAAACACATACACATTCAAAACATAACCTCTAAACATAACGTCATTGCGTCAGCAACATAAATCAACTGCGCATAACTGTGCTTACTAACGAATGGTCTTTAGCTCGAAAAATATAATAGTCCTACAACAGTTTGAAGAAGTAAACATAAAGTTAATTTTATAAAATATTTCATAAATGCTGATTAATATAAAAGATTCAGCAATAGAAAAGATGCAAACAAATTTAATAAAATCTTCTTTTATACTAAATAAAAAAAACCTTCATGAGTAAGATTACCAAAATCTAATTTTTTCAAATACAAAATTTTACTTAACAAAAAAAAACAATTAGGTGCTATTTCATACTATTTGTGATTAAATATTATGTCATTTTAATATTTGAAAATTTTTAATTAGGCAATTAGCGATGATTAATTTTTGAGCTTATTAAACAATTAATTAATCCTGGCTTTGTTTGGTGTTCAAGTACAATGTTTTTTTCTTATTTAATCTTTTGTATACATTGTTGATGTTCTCGTTGTCTTTTTAAAGTTTGAGTTATGGGTTTTTTGCTTCACAAAAAAGTGCATATAAGAGGAAAATCCAAGTGTTTCAAATCTTTTATTTTTGTTTTTCTTCTTGCAAGCTAAAGGAGTAATAAAATACAACTAGCATAATGTTAAACATTTTATTTCTTTGTCTGAATGTGTCAAATACAGTGATATAATATTATGTTAGATTAAGTCCACATCCACATTTATAGTTAAGTAAAAAATATTACATACGAAAAATAATAATTGAAAATATTATAATTAAAATGAACTGTAACAATTACACACATATTTTCGATGATTATACTATTGTACAACCCTACAACAAACATCTATACATTTGAAATTAACGTAAATTCCTCCGCAGTTAACCCTGTGGTGGTATTTACATTGTTTAGGTAATGAGGGTGGTCAGTTGAAGGGATGAGAAAGATCAGTTTTGTGATTTTATTGGCAGTGGGCCGTAGAGGGTTAATGGTTAAGAGTGGTTGGTTGGTCTTTATAGGTGTAGATTACTAAGCGACATTAGTAAGTTTCAGCCATCGAACGACCCAACTAAATGTGGGTTTTTATATGTGGCCCATAATCTACACCCATATAAGTGGGGCAAAAGAAGGAGTATAATTAAGATGAATGAATTACTTAGTTGCTATAAATCGAAAATGATTTTATCCTAGATGTCCACACTCTTCTACTGCCTGTTGCGACGAGTGGCTGAAAAACCGAGATAATTTCATTAATGCAATGATCTCACAAGGAGTAAACAGACAACAGACATTAAGAATGTTGTTGATGGGATGAAACAAGCAAATTAGGGTAACTTAAAAACTTAAACGTAATAAACCCAACTTCAAAGTAAAACACTTGGTTAATAATTTGTTGAATTTAAGCAGATTAAGAGAAATTCTCCAGAATCGCGCGTGTCTACTGTCTACTCCATGAATCATCAATCAAGCGGTGCAGCGAAACATGGAAAATACATAAATAGCTTCAGCAAGTTTTTAAAATAAAGTGAATAATGTATGAGCTGATATAAAAGCGGCTAAACTAAACGGAAATCTCAAACTAAATAAAATGGAGATGAAGATGGTCGATACTGTTACCTTTACCTTTCGTTGGTTTGACGCTTTTAGGTTTACATTTTTTTGTGATTTGCCGGTTCTGTTCACAACTTGCGTCACTGTTGGGTTTCAGTTTGTCGTTTCGCGTCATCAAACTTTGAGCGTTACAGTCGCCCCAGGTTCCTTTTTCGTATCGACACGCTGAAAGATTTAACACTTAAATATTAGGTACTGCAGAGGCAATTTTACGAAAGAAAAAGATTTATCGCGGTTATAGCAGTGAGAGGTGTAAATGGGCCATTTTTTCGACCGCAAATCTACTAGCTCGCTTTTATCACTTATATAAAGTGTTGGTTGCAACGAGAAACTTCTTTTTAACACGCAAAATGGACTTTACAGGATCTTATTTCAATGTTAACAACGAACTGTGCCGTTGAAGAAAATTACATTCATGATTTTTCCTTTTGTTACCTTTATTGAAATAAAACAAGATTTTTTTTGTAGCTATCAGAATGAATATGAACTATTCTAGATTTACTTAGGCCTTTTTTTTCGAATTTCGATCAGGGTGGAGAGATAAACGCGTTCTCGTCTACAATTACGAGTACCTATTGCAGTTTTAATTCCGAGTTTGAGCGATATTGTTTGCGTTTGGTTAATTTGACTAAAAATTACCCCATTTTGTGACAAATTACCGCTGTTTACAAATAGAGGTGTACGTGGGATATTGTGTTAGTGATTTTGATAAAATCTGTACCAAATGTAATTTTCGAGGTACTGTTGTTATAAGTGTTATGCAGCGTCTTTGAGATCAGGAATTAAATCAAAATAAACAATTTGGTGAGTTATTCGAAATTTACAGTAGGTACACAAATTAGTTACTTTTCTAAGTAGTAAGTAGTAATCTAAGCAGCTTTTTGTGGAAACAAAAATTGTTTTCGGATTATTACAGTGTGGTTGTTTACAACTGAAAAAAAAAAGACTTATTCTGCTTGCGTTTTTCTTTAGTGGCGCTCCTCAACCACCAGAAGCAGATTCGAGATTTTACAGGAAAACGTTTTATAATTTTAAGTTGATAATTGATTCGAGATTTTACAGGAAAACGTTTTATAATTTTAAGTTGATAACTATTGGGTTTTTGAAAAGAAAATTGTTGCTTTTTGTTGTAATACTTCTTTTCAGCACGTAAAATGGACCTCGCAGAATGTTATTTCAATGTTAACTAACGAAATGTGCCGTTGGAGAAAATCACAATCATTATTTTTTCTTTTGTTATTACTAGTAATAGGTACTAAGACATGAATTTTTTCATAAAAAATATTCAAGATGACGAAATTTTGTTTTTGTGTCATGTAGCTGATTCTTGCTATGTTGACAGGAGGATTATTTCAACACAAAACTAAACTAAAACTGATTGTTAAACTGATGTTGTACATATTTCTTTATGTACCTAATAAAACATTGATGCTAATGTTGTTAATATTCCTTCAACAACTTGCATGTATGTTCTCGTAATTAGTAAGTAGAAATTGATCAATATTTTAAGCGATTGTTTTTATTAGTTTGTTTATTTGTTATTAATGTAGAAACTGACAATAAAATGTTCATTTTCTCCATTTTCATTGTGAAAAAAAGCTCTCTATACATATGTTAGATTCATGTTTTATGTATAAATTTTATCCAGAGTAGTTGTGAAATAATAAGCAAAATTTAAGAATGTTAGTATTTTATTTTAACTTTTTCGTACTCACACTGGTAATTTGTCGTCTTTCACAGGTGTGGTAATAAAGACACTTCGACAAGAGATGAAATCAATAATTAAATGAAAAATTAAATTAAAAGTGGAATCGCCGTTAACAATACGCTGCAAATTAATAAAGTTTCGACTTTTTATTATTCAGGGAATTTAGACTGTCCGCGAATAAAAAGAATAGGTTTTTTATGTACATAAAAATTTTGCTACGGAACGAGGCCTGCAAACAAATTTATTGCTAAGTCTGGGGTGGAGCAAAATCTGAGTTAATCACAAAGATTGCTCAGATTTATAGATGTTATGGCAATAAGAAAGAAAATCAATAAGCAGGTGCGTTTAGAAAATCCGCCCTAGAAAAGAACGCAAAAGATCAAAGAGACATTGGGACGTTTTTTCCTGTTTTCGAAACCGTTAAATTTTCGTTATTGAATATCGTAGATTTTCTTTCATTATAGGTAACATGCGGAAACGTTCATCCCTTAGTAGGAAACTCATTTTGCTACAACTTTATAACGTGGAACTTTCCTGCTATATAACACGAAATTGCTTTTATATTAAAGTAAATGTAAAATTAAATTATTACACATACGGCGAAGATCCTTCATTAAAAGGAGCTCAGTACACGTTTAATAAATCTGCAGGAGTCGTATTGTAGAATTAGGGGCCGAATTAGCAGTATTTAACGTATGTACATTGTCGAATAGATTAGTTTTGTGTTACAATCCTTCGCCTTGATAGAATTTACCCTATTAAAATGTCGGGTTGAACACCCTTTGCCTCGTGAAATTTTTGTGGTAAATAAGCCAGTAACGGCGTTTGAATGGCAAATTTCATCAGCAGGGGAGGTATTCGTTACGAAATCGAATAAAATTTAATTAACGAGAAGCATTTAAGAGTTTGAAAGCGAGGCTCACAAAATTTATCTTCAACATGACTTATCTCTGTCGACACGGAACAAATTAAAATTTATTCGCAAATGCGACGTGACCATCAGATGAACTATTCTTCTAACGAAATTTCATTTCACTTACTTTGGATTCATTTTATTCCCAACTGATGTTGTTTTCACGTTTGTGAATCAACGAGTCAGACGGCCTCAGAAAAAAATCATCATCTGTTACAATTAAAAAAATTCTATATTTTCTCATACATGATTCAAAGCGTCCGAAACAATGTATTTCTGATGAAATTAGAACCTCTTTCAAAGAGAAGAAAAATGTCAAGAATAAGACTGACGACAGTGGAAATGCTAAAAAAAAGAAAGAAACGTAAATACTGCAGTGAAGATCAAAAAATATTGAACTGTTTACGAATCCCCTGGAGTACCTAATAAATCGTATATGAGTCTCACAATTTTAAAGTTTTGATATTTTTCTTTCAGTTAAAATAAAATAAAGCTGAAATAAAAATTAAACCGCAATACCGCTCTTTCTAGGTTAAAAATAACATAAAACGATTTAATGTCCAATTTTGTTTCCAATAAAGAAGACAGTTACAACTCTTAAAAAGTTTAGTACTGGACCGTATTTTATTTTGCTTTATTTCGCAAATCACACAAGCATAAAAACTAAATTAAAACAAATTTTGAGTATAATTTGACTTAAAAAAACTGTGGCTCTTTTGAAATTCAATTTCGCACTAGCTAGATTGAAGTTTTTATTTTAGATGAAAGAAGGATTGAGAAAGTAATTTAAAATTGCCATATAAGAAAAAAATGTTTAAAACGAAATGGAGCAGTAACTTCGCTTTACGAGATAAATATTATCACGAGAATTATTCTATTGAGTTATAAAAGTGTTATTTTCTGTAAAAATGAATTAAAAATAAGTAATAAATTTTGTTCGATCATGTGACATTTTTATTGGGATAGTCTTGATGTTATTTTTAGAAAAGGGGAAACTAGCAGACTAAAAACACCCCTTTCAAATTTATCAGCACAAATAAAAATAACATTCTCAGCCGAGATTTTGCTTTATAAATGTTGTATGCATGTAAATCGAATATTGACTGGAAGTTTAGCTTTAAAAATAAAAATAAAAAGCTGTCAAAATCGGCTACTTATACTCTTTTTCATATTAATGTGCATCAAGTAGGTTGTAGAAGTTTAATTTAAATGAATCTTTAATTTAAAGTCCGATTTACACAAAAAGTGTCATTAATGTCATTCAAAACAAATTTAATTTCATCAATAATGACAAAAATCTTTATGTTTCCTATCCTATGTTGATTACGTTGTTAATTTTAACTATTTTTTGCTACATGGAGTACACATTTATTTGAAAAAATAATTTTTAGGGAAGATTGAGTTTAGGATTGTTTGAATTTTCGCATGGTTGCCACCTTAAAATGATCCCTTTCAACGACTACTTCGGTGCACATTAATATGAAAACGAGTTTATATAATATAAATTCTTGAGAAATATTTCCAGCACATTAAAAGATGAGATAATTTCGCCTAATTTTTATTTCATTGATCTTAAAGATCTCAAAATTCCATCTATTAAACATTTACACCAACTAATGCAAAGCCTTCATACAAGTTAGTGATTGTAGTGACACATTATTCCTTTTTACAGTAATTGGTTTAATATGTTTTCCAACAGTATTGCTTGTGATAAACAACAAAGTTATAACAGAACATAAGGTAATAACGGTGGCAGAGACTGTTATCCCTTCGGTATCCCTAAACTTTGATTACCGTATCATAGATTTAGATCGGGTGCTATAAAGTAAAAAGCATCATAAATTTGAATATCGACAGATTCTTTCAACGGCGAGCTATAGACGGAGTTTGAGTTTTATTTTTAGGGAAAAATGCTTCTGCATATATACCAAGATTTAGCGTTTAACATAATATATAAAACATAAATTGCATTACACACAGCGGCCGTACACTGTGAATCTTACTTTAAAACGTTTCCAAATTTATTAGTATAACCGTTTCCAAGTGGACAGACTACTACAGATTCCATAAAAAAACCGTTAACTTTGTGCTTAACTAAATGCACATTTTTTGATTAAATGATGTGAGAATTTAGCTCATTCCCATTAATGGGGCAAAATTTATCACTGGACATCATCTACAGTCGCTCATTAATATTAAGCAAGTCGTTTAAAAATCAGAAAAATTTTTTTTTTGAAAGGAACAAAAATAAAGCGCATCTGTTGAAACTACCCGAAGCAGTTTTTATAAAAAGTTGCTCTTCGTCACCGTCTAAGGTGTCTGTATAATTTGGAGTTGTAAATAAAACATATTCAGCGCACGTTCTTAACAGCGATTCAAAACGACATACCTAGAATGTTATATTATTTGCCTTAAAGGCGTAATTACCTTTCTTGCATTTCTTCTGAATGGTTTTCGTAGATTCACATGTGGTCTGGTTGCCTTTCTTTAATGTCAACGTTCGCGAACGCATGTTGGTCTTCGAGTCACATTCCGACCATGCTCCTTTGCCATATCTGCATTCTTCTGAAAGTCAAAACACATAGTGGTAAATAAGACAATATCAACTGCAATTCAATGTTTGCAATTCATGATAAGATATTATTAATTAATTCCAATCGTCGGGTGCATGCTGCACCTTTAGATTATTCAAAATCAGTTTATGTGTTGCATAAGTTATGATGAAACCATTGTGTCTAAAAATTTTCCACAATAAAAATACATCATCTTCTAAAAATTAATTTTAGATAAATTAGTCAATATAGAAGTCTTCATTTGGGGTAATTCTAGGTTATCTGCCTAATTTATACAAACGATACACAATGTTAAAACTGTGAAACTTCTTAGAAAACTTATTTTTTTGTGCGTTGTGTAAATTTACAATCAGTAATTCAAATTCGGTGCTACTTGAATGTCGGAATTGGAATTTATGATTTTCAGAGTGCAACAGGAAGTATTTATAAAATTTAAAATATTAATTAATTGATTAATTGATTGAAATTAATTGATTAATTTATTATTTCTCAAATTATTTTTCAAAATTTATAAAAAATAACTGCAAATTTACTTTCAAAATTATTTTACCAAAAATATGTGATTTTTGATTATAACAACAGTAAATGATAAACATGCGTTCCTAGTTGTAATTGACATTGCAGCTTCAAACACACTCAACATCCAGAAGACTTATGAAACAGAAATTTCCAAGTATAATATGATCCTTGCAACATGAAAAAGATCAAAATAATACCAATAATCATTTTCGCAATTAGAGTTGTACCTAACAATTTAAAAGTAAATCTAGAACTTTTAAAATTAAACTCAAATTTAATTATTGGAATCCAAAAAGCAGTCACTTTAAAAATTTGTGAAATGGGTCAGTGGAAGGTAAAGGTTGTGGAAATTATTTGTCAGAAAATTATGTCTTAAAATAATTATCTGCCAAATGATTTATCTTTTACGATTTTTGACTTAACAATTCCCCTTTGGCAAAAAAGATAAATTTTAAATATTCTGCCATATTAAAAAAGTTAAAATTTGTCTTTGGTTCATGAAGCTGTGCTGAATTTTAAAGCATTTCAAGCTGTTTTTTAGTATTTAAAAAAGTATTTAAAAAGTATTTAAAAAGTATTTAAAAAGTTAAAATTGACATTTGGAAAACAGCAAAATTTTTAAGATTCTGTCCTGTGTTTAAAGTTATATTAAAAAAAAGTTAAAATGTATAAAGGCATTTCCGGACGTGTCATTCAGAAAAGAAAAAAAGAAATCATGAGAATCATGACTTTTTGGTTCATATTCAATAGTTTGTATGATTAAAAAAAAATTAGTTATACCTAATTAAAAAAAAAATATAGACAAAAAATATCAGCTATAATTAATTATAGAGCCTGATAAATCAAGGAAGTACATCAGTGGAACATGACAAAACTACTTTTTTACATTTGAGTACACAGCTTGGCTCTTTTCACCGATGGATTTGTACAAACAATGGTTGCTCTAATTTTCATTTGTATTATGAAAGATGTGCCAGCACTATCAGCTAAAACTTTCTTTCTTAATATCTGCTTTTAAACACAAAATGAATAAGAGTAGAAGATTATAAGAAGAGTAGAAGAATCAAACATATTTTTTAGAGTCTGGGAACTCCAAAATCGGTACAAAAAGGTTAAAGTGTCACTAAGTGTTTACTATTGATTTTCATGAAATTTGTCTCTTTACCCATTCTATATATGAGTTAATCAAGTTTCACAAAACTTGAAGAAACAGATTTGTCGGATGTTTCATGAATCATGATACGTCATTGTTAATATATTCTCAATTGATGTGAATAAAGAATAAGGTACATTTTAACCTCTTACATATTTGCATAAATTAAACTTGATGAAAAAGTTTTTAAGGGTTCCTCATATGTATATTCATTATTTTCTTTTTTGATGCATTAATAACGTTGAAAAGCAATTAAACGATTTTCGAGCACAAATATGTTTATTCTAACATTTTATAAAATAAAATACGTAATAAAAAGAACTTCTTAGTGTGTGAATTTACATATGTATGATGTTAAGAGAGTTTTCTTTTTGATTTGGACAATAACAACAAATCGTCACGAAAATTGTTATGTTGGCTTAGTGTGCACAAACGTTGTATTGTTATTGGAAGTCGCTTTGAAGTAAACATGTTCAGAACATTTTTCTATTTATATTTTCCTTGCAAAAGAAAATCCTAAATGTTATTACTCGTAATGTCTCAACGACATAGCGTACTCGTTTTGTTGTCTCAAGTGTGGTTAATGAGTGCTAAATACTGAAATTATCTCGTTTCATAAAAGTATACGTCACAAATGACTTGTAATCTGCAATTACCAACAAAATAAAACGTGATAAAGTAAACCAATCTGTGATTTAAATTATTTTGTAATTATGCGTTTGGTAATGCAGAAATAAACTAGATTAATTTGTAAAACTTCAATAAACATATTTTGCAATAAACTGGGTTTAATACACATATCATAAAAAGTGAAGTTTAGAGTTAATATAAATGTAAAATCAAACAACTCTGTGTTATCAAAAAAAGTCATCATAAATAATTTATTTAAACTCTTCAATATAAAAATTCCATCCTTTGTTTCTAAAAAGTGACTTTAATAAACAAAAAGAAAAATAAACCCAATAATCAAAATTCAATTTTGAAACAATGTATCATTTGCCTTAGGCCATAAAAATTCAATTTACAGACTGAGACATATAAACCCCCTCCCAGGCTCTGATTGAAAATACCCTAATAAAAATAAATAAAAAGAAAGTAGGACAGTTACAAACGATTATGGAAAAATAATTTTTGTAGCAAAGTTCCTGTAAGACAAATGGATGTGCATAGTGATCCAAAATTAAATCTAAAACATAGTAAGTAGTTCAGCTGTTTATGTAGTTTTAATGAGGGCTAAAAGTAAATATTTACAAAATAAATTTTAATATTCGAAATGTTTGACATATATTTAGACTTCAAATTTACGTGTTGTGGTAATGTTAAAAAATTAACTTTTTTCCTGTAAAAATGCTTGTTTAAAACTTATTTATCTAAAAGTTCTTTCAAAACTTGTGTATACATATAAACTGCAAACTACTATGTAACATATGTTACCACTTGGAATAATTAGTAGCTTGTGTTAAGGCATTCAGAATTAATTTTGATGGTTATTAGAATACATAAACAATATTCTTGGCTTGCTGTTATCACTACCACTTAGCATACTACATAATTAGTATAAAATTGACGCATATACATCCTAACACTGTCAATTATAGAACACTAATAATGCAGACAATTAATTAGCAGGTTCAATGTACCATCCTGTAGATAACGACAAGATCACGCTGCGTTGTAGGAACACATTGTTATGCAATAAGACATAAAATGTTAATTATAAATTTATTAATGCCTGGTCCAAATTCCTCTCCCTCCCATAAATGATTGGTAAACAGAAACCTCTCGAAGTCACCGTTTTTATATATTGGCAAAGCCGAGTTTTATTAAGACATTTGCAAATAGAACTCGTAGGTCGGCCAAAGTTGGGGTTAGATTTATAGTATCGTTCTACGTTTAGGAAAATAGATTACAATCTGCGTGGTGCACGAAAGACGAATTATTACAGAGCAACTCCGAGGATGTGTTCTAGCACGGAGATAATTAATTACAAACGAATCTCTGCACATAATCATTAAAATTCACTTTGTTTTTCTGCGTGAAAACGCCTTTTCCAATTTGATTTATGGCGTTTCAGCGCAATTCTGTAAGTTTTGCTCCAATTTCAGAAGCGGTGAAAACGCTCAGATGGTGGAGAGCAATATAAAATATACTAGTTTGGTACAGGAATAAAAATAAAACAGAAATGGTTTTTATTTCGCCTGAAATTTTGTTCCGCGTTAATTAAATTGTTTCACCTAATTAAATCTTTGATGATCTGTTGTATTCCGGTAGAAAATTCTACCTTTAATTAGCATTTAACGCGAAAAAACGTTTTCAGTTTTTATTAAGTGGTTTTAATTAGCGACAATTTTTTATTACGGTTGTCAAAACTGTTGTGAAATAAAAATGATGTTTTGCTGAAAATCGTGTTAGAGTCTTTTTCTACTTTATATTGAACGGACGTAGTAGAAATGGGCGTAGGGCGTGCTTGCAATAAATCCACGAGGCTCGCTGTAGCAGCTCAAAACAGCAATAATGTACTCTAAAAGTCGTGAATTTTATCTGAAGATAACTACTTAAGATTGCAAGTAATAACATAAGATTGCTGGTTGTAACAACTTGGTTCTCTTCCTCTCGCAGATAGGAAACAGATCAATTTCCTAATTTGTGAAGCTCACTTGCAATAATTTGTTTTGTTAGTTGTTAAATAGTTCGCTGTAATCTTGAACTATTCAGTAACGCTTGAAACCGGAACGAGGAAACGACAAAGCTAACTGCATTTTAATTACAGTGGAATTATCCTGTGTGACGCTGACAAACCAAAAGGGAAAGAGATAGGGAAACGCAAAGAGTTACAACGCAATTTGCATAGTAACAATTTTTATCCACAACAATCCTTCAGCGCTTAGGGGTTATATGATGAATGTTGCCTAAATATTAAGCAGCAGGAACGTTAGACAAATACCGCATTATAAATCCTTACATTCCAGTTTTCTTTATTGTGGGAAAAAATAATAATAAACTTTCGAAATGCAAATTGTTACTGGCGCATAAATTTTGCTCGAGTTACAACTTGTGCCGCTATTAGGACTATTATCCAACAAAAATATTTTATCTTGGTAAAAGTTTGAAAGTGCCAATTTCAAGTACGATAATAAGGAATTTATAATTCAGGAGACACAACTTCCACATCTTTTAAATCTAAAATTAATAGCAGTCTGAAAGCTCCTTATACATAACCAACACTCTTGCCAGTTAAAATAAATTTTGACCTTAATGCGTATTTTAAGTGGCAAAGTAAAATACTCGTATGCTTCCTGGAAACGGAAGGTTATTAA